CGGCCGGAAAATTAATTCTGGTCTCGTTATGCTCCCCGACGTGTGTTTCTCCTTTTATGATGGTAATTGCCAGAATGTTATTGTTCGCGACCCGTAAAGTACAATCGAACGATAAAATTTGTTAAACATCGAGCCGAAATATTTCCATTCCCCTCCTCGCCCTCCGCGCGTTAACGCGCGCGCGCACGTAAAATATTACAGCGCCGCACGATTTTCCGCCGTTACCGTATTTTTGCAATTTCGGTGCCGAGGATTTATTCGAATTCTTTCCATTTCGTCCCTGCGATTTAACTCGTCGATTATCGTACGATGTTTAGCGAACGTTGGAAACACGCCCTTCTGTTTCTCTTTTCTTTACGTTTGCCGTGAATTGGTATGGAAATTGACAAAGGGCGGTTGGTCAGAACTGATTGGCGAGACGGAAATCCGAATGCTTTGCATCGGTGACCGACGCCGCGAACTGGTTGCGTCTCTTTGTATTCTTTTGTGACTAAGATCAAAGCTCTATGGGGTCAATTCGATTCTGAATCGTTTCTATGTCAGTGTTTCGTATACTTTACAATTGTGCAGATCCCTTCGATGAAGGGGCACTTTTGGCCTAACCTCTAAAGTAGACCTACATACAGTTCAAAAGTGATTCCTAAGAGATTGCATTTATGCATTCGACGTTCGCTGACTTTACCAATTCAGTAGTTCAATTAGTTCGCGAGATCACCGTTTTTTACGCGTAGAGGTCGCTTGAAAACCACTGGCCTTTTGCCAGGTCGGTACTTCAGTGTGACACCAACTTCCATAAGATGCATAGTCTATTCTATACCTCGTTTGTAATCATACACCTTACTTGTAATTCCATACTAAAATTTAATTTCAATTCTAACCACTGCAAATGTCATACCGTTGTTCTTTGCTCAATCGGTCACGTTGAGAATGACAAATGGATCTCGTAACCCCGACAATCCGGGACAAAAAATTTAATCGATAGATTTATTCTATGAGTCATATTCTCTAAGTTCACTAGCTTTGACGATTTCAATGGTACAGTTGACTATAATTCCTGAAATCATTTCTTAAACGAAGAGGTCGCTCTAATACCATAGACCTGGTGTACGAGTAGATTTCACATCTTATAAGCTTTCGTGGCCTAGTCTGACTGCCATACCGACCTGAAAGTTCGGACACAGACGAACTGACTCATGTCCTCTTTCTCGATTCTTCGAAGCTGCCCGAAAAAATTTTGTGAAATTTCTTTTATTAAAATACACGTTTTAAGACCCCCTGATCATATTTTAACACATTACCGACCGATAGCCTATTAATCGACTTTTTTACCGGCCAACACTTACCGACCGATAGCGTATTAATCAACTTTTTTACCGACCAACGCTTACCGACCGATAGCCGACTAATCAACCGCTACCGGTCGGTAAAGTGTTAATTATTGAAAAAAGATTTTCTTTATTAATCCTATGTATGAGCGTACATATGTACATTATTAATACGATTTGTCAAAACCGAGATACTTTAAGATTGAAAATTAATAAATGTACTTTGAACTTTCCTACAGGCCTCTGCAGACCATTGCTGGCCACTGCTAATACTTCTGACAACGTATAACGATTACGATTAGCTACTGCCAGCCTCTCCCAGCCTCTGCTGGCCTCTGATGACCACCGCTTATATTTCTGACAACGTATAACGATTACTACTGACTTCTGCCAGCCTCCACTGGCCTCCACTGACCACCGATTATATTTCTGACAACTTACAACGCCTCTACTGACTTCAACCAGCCTCCACTGGCCTCTGCTGACCACTCCTGATACTTCTGACAACGTATAACGATTACAACTTGCTACTGCTGGCCTCTGCTGGCCTCTGCTGGCCTCTACTGACCACTGCTGACCACCACCGATGCTTCCGACAACGTGTGACGATTACTACATGTTACTGCTTGCCCCTGCTGATCCCTGCTGGCTGATGCTGGCCTCTGTTGTCCACTGCTGACCACCACCGATGCTTCCGACAACGTGTGACGATTACTACATGTTACTGCTTGCCCCAGCTGGTCTCTACTTGCCTCTGCAAGCCTCTGCTTGCCTCTGCATGCCTCTGCTGGCCTCTGATGACCACTAATGACCACTCCTGATGCTTCCGACAACGTATAACGATTAGTACTTGTTACTGCTTGCCCCTGCTGGTCTCTACTTGCCACTGCAAGCCTCTGCTTGCCTCTGCATGCCTCTGCTGGCCTCTGCTGGCCTCTGATGACCACTAATGACCACTCCTGATGCTTCCGACAACGTATAACGATTACTACTTGTTACTCCTTGCCCCTGCTGGTCTCTGCATGCCCCTGCATCCTCCTGCTGGTCTCTGCTAACCTCTGCCAACATGTGCGGGCTTCTGCCTGCCTCTGCTGGCCCTTGCTGACCACTGCTGACCACCCCTGATGCTTCCGACAACGTATAACGATTACAACTTACCACTGCTTGCCCCTGCTGGTCTCTGCTGTCCCCTACTGTCCCCTACTATCCCCTACTATCCCCTACTGTCCCCTGCTGGCCTCTGCTGTCCCCTGCTGACCACTGCTGGCCGCTGCTTGCCCCTGCTCGTCTCTGCATGCCTCTGCATCCCCCTGCTGGCCTCTGCTGACCTCTGCTGACCCCTGCAGACCCCTGCTGACCCCTGCTGACCACTGCTGACCACTGCTGACCCTTGTTAACAACTTCTGCCATGATATATATGTATTAAAACATTGTATAATGCAAATCTATGGCAATAAATGATACAATTACAAAGAATTCTATGTGTTCTCATCATTTTTTACCTTTCTTTTCCTCTCCAAGTCATTACCTTAGTTATAAGACTCCCTGAAACTCCTTGGTTTCCCTGAACCCACAAGGAAGTCCCGAAACTCAAAACTTTGCTAAAAATTCAGCGTTTCCAAGAAATTCCAGGACTTCCCAGCTGTTTCAGGACTTTCCAGCTGTTTCAGGACTTTCCAACTTTCGAATTTTCGTTGTTTCAGGACTTTTTCGTTGTTTCAGGACTTTCCAACCGTTTCAGGACTTTCCGGCTGTTTCAGGACTTCCCAACTTTCGAATTTTCGTTGTTTCAGGACTTTTTCGTTGTTTCAGGACTTTCCAACCGTTTCAGGGCTTTCCAGCTGTTTCAGGACTTTCCAACTTTCGAATTTTCGTTGTTTCAGGGCTTTTTCGTTGTTTCAGGCTTTTCCAGCTGTTTCAGGACTTTCCAGCGGTTTCAGGGCTTTCCAACTGCTTCGAATTTTCGTTGTTTCAGGGCTTTTTCGTTGTTTCAGGACTTTCTAGCTGTTTCAGGACTTTCCAACTGCTTCGAATTTTCGTTGTTTCAGGGCGTTTTCGTTGTTTCAGGACTTTCCATCTGTTTCAGGGCTTTTTCGTTGTTTCAGGACTTCAAAGTTGTTTCAGGACTTTTCGACGAAAAATGAATTCTCGATTTTGCCAGCAAAATTTCTGGGAAATGATGAGGACATCGGGAGGATATCGGGGGAACATATGGGAAGAGGTGGCACGTATCTTATAACTATGGGAATGATTTCGAGAGGAAAAGAAAGGTAAAAATGATGAGAACAATAGAATTCTGTTAAATTATATCATTTATTGCCATAGATTTACATTATACAAAGCTTTAATACATATACATCATGTCAGAAGTTGTCAACAAAGGTCAGTAGTGGTCAGCAGTGGTCAGTAAGGGTTAGCTGGGGTCAGCAGAGTCCAGCAGAGGGATGCAGAGGCATGCAGAGACCAGCAGGGGTAAGCAGTAACAAGTAATAATCGTTATACGTTGTCAGAAGTATCAGGAGTGGTCAGCAGCGGTCAGCAGAAGCCAACTGGGACTGGTAGGAGTCAGTAGTAATCATTGTACGTTGTCAGAAGTATAAGCAGTGGTCAGAAGTGGTCAGCAGAGGGCAGCAGTGATCAGCAGAGGGCAGCAGAGGGTAGCAGGGGCAAGCAGTAGCTTGTAGTAATCGTTATACGTTGTAAGAAGTATCAGGAGTGGTCAGCAGCGGTCAGCAAAAGCCAACTGGGTCTGGTAGGAGTCAGTAGTAATCATTGTACATTGTCAGAAGTATCAGGAGTGGTCAGCAGCGGTCAGCAGAAGCCAACTGGGACTGGTAGGAGTCAGTAGTAATCATTGTACGTTGTCAGAAGTATAAGCAGTGGTCAGAAGTGGTCAGCAGAGGGCAGCAGAGACCAGCAGGGGCAAGCAGTAGCTTGTAGTAATCGTTATACGTTGTCAGAAGTATCAGAAGTGGTCAGCAGCGTCCTCTCGAGTCCAGCGGAGGCCTGTAGGAAAATTCAGAAGTACATGTAGTCATAGCCCCGAAATCCTACGCACTTTCGAGAAAAAAATTCCTAAACGAAAATATAATCTGTGGCCAGAAGTAGTATAGACCAGTAATTATAAATTTTGTAACTGTACAAAGTTAATAATATAAGTAGCTCGAAGAGATTGAAAGGATGCGAACCTTTCTGCGTGGCCTTGAATCAATTTCTTTTTTTTAGTGTAATAAAATCGATATCTAAAATTAGTTGGTAGAAATGACAGGACGTAATGGTTAAAACCGTATCTGATACCGCCTTATTATTCCGCAAAAGTTTCATTTGCACGTATCTCGAAAATAACACTCACGAATGATTAGAGACTTTTTAATCTAAAGAAACTTATCTCGTTTACGTACAATCTGTACATGCATACAGTCATGAAAAAGTTTCCCGCCTAAAGTATTCCCGCGTAAAGTATTCGCGACTAGAACAATCATCTATTAAGGTAAGGGACAGTAACATAGAGTATAGAGACATTAAAATTGAAATTTATTGTCATTATTGTTACCACTAATTGAACGGAATATTTTTGGAAATTAACACTTCCGCCCAACACTCTCGTTACGTGTCTTTATTAACGTATCTTTAAATACCTCGAAAAGAAGATGCCCTGCGCGTTGATATTTCACTCTTCCGACTTCCTTTTCTCTTGGATGGGCATTCACTGAAGTTAGAAATAAATGGGACGCATGTTAGTACGGTTAATCTATTTTTGTACGGGCACCCTAGAACAAAGTCATGACTGCACATACTGGTCGCGACTGAAGCGGCTCCCGGCGCCTTTCTTTACTCCTCGTCTCTTTTCACGGCACGGAGCACAGATTTGATATTCGAACACGTGCGTGGATCGGTACATTCCTCGGAGAAACGAACGATTTCGACGCTGTAATCAACAAGTGAACGCCAGAAGCAAAATCGAGGATCTCATCAATCACGATTCCCGATACGACCGGCGTGATCAATTCATTACAGAGAAACAATGATCTTCCGATTCTAACAGTTCTGACAGTTTCAAATAGGTACGTGAACATCCTACACCTTAACTCTCTGTAAATAATAACGCGTGAAATATTCTTTAACGTCGTTTATTAATGTAAAACATTCGCTGTAATCTGCCACGATTTCGCATTCCATACGACGATACGATGCCTGGAATATTTACTTTGGATCGAACAATTTAAACAATTTACGAACGAACGTTCGCTTTCCTAATCGCTGAGGAAATCCACAATCGTTAACATAAATCGAAAGCTACTATCTATTGATCTTTTAGAACGATTGCACGACACGCGTGACGACAAGCAGTCGATTAGGTTCGTTGTGGTATTCACTGTGGATATCGTCGTAGCTGTCAAATGTTGATGTGAGGTTAACTAGAGATGTTCGGGGTACACAAGATTAAGGACCTGGGGCCAGGCCAGAGAAAGCCAATCGGACGTCCGTGACATCCAAAAATTCGGGTAGTCCGAGTCTAGTCTGATCGTAATCGGACTATCAGACAAACTCGAAACAGTTTTGTCGATCTCACTTGACTATTTGATCGAAAACGTCGTGTAATATAGGGGTGCAAAGCAGTCAAAATTTTTTGTACTTCCTCGGACTGTCCGAATTATTTGCACGTTAAAGACGTCCCAACCGAATCCGCCCGACCTTTTCCGATTCAAAGCGAATCACTCGGACATCCGACTCGGATGATCCGGACAGTCCGAAACATGAAACGGACCGTATATTATTAGAGGTTACAGAACTTTTATATTCCGATTTTCAGGGTTGTACCAAAATTAACGATGTGTACGCGTCGCACGCGCGAAACTATTTCTCTGTTCCTGATTCTCATGGTATTTGGTTTGTTTTCAACCGGGAACGCGGCGTCTGCACACATACATACCTATCAACATAACAAACCCACTAGTAATGAGAGAACAGAGGATGGCGCGTACAGTCCAAGAGACTTGGACCATTACGCAGGAGGGGAACACCATCAGGAGTTTGATCATGAAGCTATACTCGGTGTGTATTGTTAAAGAGGAACTCAAAATCACAGTCTCTAATATCGATGATTTCCAAACAAAGTCTACCATGTAACAAACTCTGTTTTAAAGGAAGCATAAAGGAAGCAGAAGAGTTTGACAAACTTCCAATGAAGGAATCGAAGAGACGACTAGGAATTTTATTAACAAAAATGGATTTGAATAACGATACACTGATAGAGAGAAACGAACTGAAAGCATGGATCTTACGTTCGTTCAGGTATGTATATTTAGAGTATTGTGAACTTAGAAGAAGAACGCGTATGAATTTATGTTGGAAACAGCATGCTTTCCACGGAGGAATCAAAAGACCGATTGGAGGACGCCGATAGCGACGAAGATGGTAAAATAAGTTGGAATGAAATTTTGCAAGACACGTACGGCACAGATCCGGAAGATTTAGCAGTGAACGACAAGCTCATCACCGATGACAAGCAGACGTTCGAGACTGCAGATATAGATAAAAATGGTTATCTGGACACGGAGGAGTTCAAGGCTTACACTCATCCCGAAGAAACTCCTAGAATGTTCCCGCTTCTGCTTAAGCAAGCTTTGGACGACAAAGACACGGATAAGGATGGATTTATCAGTTTCCAAGAATTTATTGGGAACAGAGCTAAGGCGGAAGATAAAGAGTGGTTGTTGATAGAAAAAGACAAGTTCGATTATGAGCATGATAAAAATAGGGACGGGCGACTGGATTTGGATGAAATACTTTCTTGGCTAGTGCCTAGCAACGAGTAAGTAAAACATTTCTATATTTTGCTCGGCTAATAATTGGTAGACGTTACCAAATACATGAATATTTTAGAGAAATCGCTGGCGATGAGGTGGATCATCTGTTTGCGGCGTGCGACGACGATCACGACAATCGATTGTCCTTCGACGAAATTCTAGATCATCACGATACTTTTGTAGGCAGCGAAGCCACGGATTACGGAGACCATTTGCAGGATATCGAGCGTTTCCAAGACGAGCTTTGAGAATCGATCGCCCAGACGCGTTAGCAAAAATCTTTATCTCTTTTTCGTAACACCTGTTGCAAATTTCCATCCGCGAAAATATTTTGAATACTTCTGAATATCGCCCTTTCGACTCTATGTATGTTTTTGGTATTCCTATATCTGCTGCATTTAAACCATATTTATATCGAAGTCGTTCGTAATTGCACAAACATGCTCGAAGTAACAAACAGTATCTCTCGGACTGCAGTCTTCCAGTTTTTACAAAACTTTAGTGCCATAAATGCAATGACATCTAACGCAAGATGCATCAGCACCCATAGACTTTATATTTCTTACGATTAGTAAAAGTTACCAGCGTTATATTATCTTATTCTCATTATTTATTGTGTAAATGATTAATTATACGCACGCTTCGAGCACCAGATTCTTATGTACATGTGAAATTATAAAAAGGATCGTACTGAACCGAAGTTGTGACTTACCTAAATAAATAATTTAAGTAGTTAGACCTTTACTGATCATCGTTCGGTATTTAAACAAATGTAACATAAATTCGAGATACGTAGATAGTGCTAATTTTATTCGAACCAAAAAGTTTAAAAATACAAATATACTGTGTAGTGTTTTTCGATATAATCTTTGACCAAAGGTTTGTCTACTTTTCGTAACATGTAATGTGATGAATTTTTTAAATAAAATGTACTTAGCATCTTAAATGTTTTCCTTCGTAATTCCATTAAAGAACGAAATTTTTAAAATGAATGTGGGAATGTGTATTTGATTCGAATGTTCCGTGATGGCGCTGCTCTTCAAACACGTGAGATAGAATATAGACAAACACAGAAGGAATTTGACGTATCGTTTGACAGCGTATCACGTATAAAATACGATTTTTACATATTTTTAATATAAATTTTGTTAAAATGCCGTACGCTAATCAACCATCGGTGCATATTTCCGATCTGACCGAGGAAAATGTGAAATTTCAAGTCGAAGACACCGAGTTGAGGTAAGAGGTTATGCCGCAGTCGATCCTTTTTCGTAACGTGTTATTAAACGTTTCCAACGTGTTCAGTGTAGCAAACAGCATGAGACGTGTCTTTATCGCGGAAACACCTACCATGGCTATCGATTGGATCCAATTAGAAGCAAATTCCACGGTCTTGAGTGACGAATTTCTGGCGCACAGAATCGGTATGATACCACTGATCAGCGACGACGTGAGTATTTAAAAATTAAACGTCTAATATCTAAGACATGGTTCAAGTTAAAATGAAATAAATTTAGGTTGTCGATAGGATACAATATACGAGGGATTGCCAATGCATGGATTTCTGTCCTGAATGTAGCGTAGAGTTTACATTGGATGTAAAATGCATAGAGGATCAAACGAGACACGTAACCACAGCAGATTTTAAATCCAGCGACCCGAGAGTACTTCCTGTTACATCCAGACACAGAGAGGATGATGCCAGCGAATACGGAGAAACAGATGGTTAATAATTTTCAAACCAATACGTTTATCACCATTGTGTTACAGCATAGATTGATTTTACAGAAATATTGATAGTAAAATTGCGTAAGGGACAAGAACTGAAGCTGAGAGCATATGCCAAGAAAGGCTTTGGAAAGGAACACGCAAAATGGAACCCAACAGCCGGTGTGAGCTTCGAATACGACCCAGACAATTGCATGAGACATACTTTGTTCCCAAAGCCCGATGAATGGCCAAAATCAGAATACAGTGAATTAGAAGAGGATCAGTGTAAGTATCGTAATACTTGGGTGATTGATTGTCATCTACTGAGTTAATAATTTATAAAATGTTTCAGACGAAGCTCCGTTCAATTGGGAAGCTAAACCAAATAAATACTACTTCAATGTCGAAAGTAGCGGAGCTTTGAAGCCTGAAAATATCGTAATGATGGGCATAGCAGCTTTGAAAAATAAATTATCCAACTTGCAGACACAGTTAAGCCACGAAGTTCAAAGCGACGCGCTGAGCATTCATCATTGATCGACATATTTATTAGCAATTTAGAAATAAAATCCTTATTCTTGAAATAAAATTGTCATTAAAATTGTTGGTTATTATTATTTTATCCTTAAGTTTTATCCATGCTGGATGGATTTCAGAAATTAAACGAATATTTTGGTTTAAAGCGATATTTTCGTATTAATGAAATAGAGGGGACGTGCGTAGTGACGTCAGCTTACGCATGCGCAGAAAGAAATCCTGCGAGGGAAAATTCTAGCGCGCATACCATCACTGGACACGCGAGGGGAAAGTCACCATATTTTTCGCCCCCACATTTTCTGAAATAAATCCCTATTGCTTTTTCATATTCGTCTTCCGTTCTTTCCAAACATCTTCCGCCTGCCCTTTTACCTATCTCCGTTTCTATTTTGTCTCCTTTCAATTCTATTCAGCAGACATAAACAGATAAACTAATTCAATCGAGGGAAATGCGAATATCGATGAGCCTGTTTCTAGCAACTCCTCACCCTACTTCGAAAGGAAATATTTTGTTTGATCGTTTACTATTTTTACTTATTCATTAATTCTTGTACATTGAAACTTTCTTCAATCGCAATAATCAAAAAATAGTAGTTTCTTGCTTGTGTAGTGGTGATGGTACCAATCCTCCCGCCTAAATCTAGAGACATTTACGTGTTGTCGTTTAGCGGATCACCTTACAAATGTCGCTTTGCCAACAAGTCGATTGAATGGTTTTGTTTCATTCAGTGACAGAGAAGTTACTTTTCTGATTGAGTTGCCTCTATAGTGTAACACGAGTAACATTCGTGTGATCTCTAATCGCACTATGTACATCAAGCAGGTATCATTAAATAACAACAGGTCTCCTATCGAGCTCCTGTCGCCTTTTGCGCGCCTCCACGCTACTTCCTTTCCAACAGACGCTGCGTTTACGAAGCAGATATTGTTATTGTCATTCACTTTGAACGTTTACAGAGATTGCTTTTGATACGTTGTCAGTAATTTCTTTCCCCAAAAACCATCGAATGGTTGAATCTAAACCTATGCAAGATGTTTCTACAGTACATTTATTTACCCAAGAGATTAGAAATATGCACCAACAATTAAACTTTAGAAAAATGATATCTTTAGTCTTAACGCGATACTTGTACAGTAGTTTGACAAAATGCAACTGCAATAATATTCTGCGTAATCATTTCTCTACAATTAGGTGATCATACAAGGGTTTAAGTCATATCGCGAGCAGACAGTAGTAGAACCCTTTGATCCAAGGCACAATGTAGTAGGTATGTCTAAATATTTAATTGCGATTAATTTAAACATATTTAAACAAGGATTACATATATGATGAGTTTATTTCCAGTCGGAAGAAACGGCTCTGGCAAGAGCAATTTTTTTTATGCAATTCAGTTCGTCTTAAGCGATGAATTCTCTCATCTCAGGCCCGAACAGAGACAGGCTCTGTTACACGAGGGTACCGGACCGAGAGTCATTTCCGCTCACGTAGAAATCATATTTGATAATTCAGATGGAAGATTACCGGTATTTAATGCTTGTCATATAATTTATTATTTGTTTTTTAATTTCGTGTTATAAATCTGATCAAACATTTCTATAGATTGACAAAGAAGAAGTGTATCTGAGGAGAGTGATCGGCTCGAAAAAGGACCAATATTTTCTTAACAAGAGAATAGTAACTAGAAACGATGTAATGAATTTATTGGAATCTGCAGGATTTTCTAGGTCAAATCCATACTATATAGTGAAGCAAGGAAAGGTATTTTTTGGGATCCCGTGCAACCCTTTGGTAGTAAATACGTGATTTTAAAAAATGAGAAACATATATTCCGTAGATAAACCAAATGGCGACAGCACCAGATTCGCAAAGACTGAAATTATTGAGAGAAGTAGCTGGTACGAGAGTGTACGACGACCGACGAGAGGAATCGAAATTTATTTTAAAAGAAACGGAGGGAAAATTGGAGAAAATTCAGGACTTTTTGCGAACAATAGGTAAATCCCGATTCGAGCTGGTAATGACCGTTTAGAAAACACTTTGTGCTCGAATTGCAGAGGAACGTTTGAAGACCTTGGAGGAAGAAAAGGAGGAGCTCAAAGAGTACCAATGTTGGGACAAACAACGACGCTGTTTGGAATACACGATTCACGAGCGGGAGCTTAAAGAGAATAAAAGAAAGTTGGAAGAGGTGGAGAAGTCCAGGGCTAACAGCGGCGCGGAACAGGCGCGATTAGGCGCGGAAGCGAAGACTGCACAGGAAATGGTAAGAGCCGCCATGAAACGTCTAAAAGAGGCGAAGAAGGAAGTGCAGACCGCGAAAGAGGAACGCGACACGCTTAGGTAATATCCGTAAAGATGAACGCAAATAAGAAACTGTGTAATAAGCGGAGAACTTTATTTCATAGCGCCGAGCAACAGCAGTTACTCAAAGAGAAAACCAAATTGAATTTAACTATTAACGATCTGTTGGAAGAAGTGAAAGGAGACAATGACAGTAAAAAACGAGCTCAACAGGAATTAGAAAAATTGAAAGTAAACATTGCAGCGAGAGAAGCGGAATTAGAAGTACTCAAGCCAGAAGTATGTTATACGTAATTTGTTATTGCGTTATATTTACGTAAATTTGATTTAAAACGAGAGTTTATTTTAGTACGAGGAAATGAAACGCGTGGAGGAGGAATGCACGCGCGAGTTGCAATTGAAAGAACAGAAACGAAAAGAATTGTACGCGAAGCAGGGTCGCGGCAGTCAATTCACCAGCAAGGTATCGAATGTTTGTTGAATCGAAGATTAAAGATAGAGAGATGGTGCTTGAATAATCCCTTTGTTAGGACGCCAGAGACAAATGGATACAAAACGAGCTTAAGCAACTTACCAAGCAAATTAAAGATAAAGAGGAACACCAAAGAAAGATCAGCGACGACCTGAAGAAAGATGCGGAGAAACAGGTGATTTTGGAGAGGAAGATAGAAGAGCACACGCGCGAAATGGAACAGCAACGATCGTCGATAGATGAACATAATAAGCAGTATTACGAATTGACCAAAGCGAAGGATCAGTGTCAGGCCACTAGAAAAGAACAGTATGTATATTAATACGTGAACACCTAACACGACCGTAAATTAAATTTTTAATATTACAGGTACCGTCAAGAAAGCGTGTTGCAACTTAATTTGTCGGGACTCAAAGAAGACTTGGCGAAAGCAGACCAAAGTTTACGGTCCATGGCTGGAAAGCCTATTCTAAACGGACGAGACAGCGTGCGAAAAGTACTGGACACATTTCGGCAAGTATTACGCGACTGCACCGAATGGTCCGTATTTACTGAATCATGCTTCGTATTCTAGAACGCGCAAAGACATGGCCCACGAGGTGAAAAGCTATTACGGTCCTGTGATCGAGAACTTCAGCTGCGAGAAGAACTTTTACATGGCTGTGGAAGTGACTGCCGGGAATCGATTGTTCCATCACATCGTGGACACCGATAAATTCGGCACGAAGATCATGAAAGAGATGAACAACCAACGACTTCCGGGCGAGGTGACGTTCATGCCTTTGAATAAGCTCTACGTGAAGGATATAGATTACCCAAACACCAGCGACGCTATGCCTATGATCTCGAAGTTGGATTACGACGAGAAGTATGACAAAGCTTTGAGGTACATTTTTGGGAAAACGTTGATCTGCCGTAACCTGGAAACCGCGACAAATTTGGCCCGTACTACTGGTTTGGATTGCGTGACTCTGGAAGGTGACCAAGTGTCGTCGAAAGGATCGCTAACAGGTGGATACTTCAATACGCAGAGGTCGCGTTTGGATATACAGAAAACCAGGTCTGAGCTGATGGCGCAAATTTCCTCCCTCGAGTCTCAGTTAGCGACGCTTAAAGAGGAGATCAGAAAGGCGGATCAGAACATTAGTTCCTACGTTAGCGAAATGCAACGGACTGAGACTAAGAACAGCAAAGCTAAAGATGTGTATGATAAGATGAAGGCGGAGATACGACTCATGAAGGAAGAACTGAGCGCGATAGGAAGGTACCGTACGCCTAAAGAAAGAAGCCTCGCACAGTGTACTTCAAGTTTAGACGCAATGCGTGCGACTAAAGAAGGGTTGGAGAGTGAATTGCACCAAGAACTCATGGCACAATTATCTGTTGCCGATCAACGTCAGGTCGACACACTGAACGACGATATAAGACGTCTGACGAAAGACAATAAAGAGGCATTTGCCAAACGTATGCGACTGGAGGCGGAAAAGAATAAATTAGAAAACTTATTGACCAATAATTTAGTGAGGAGGAAAGACGAACTGGTTCAGGCTTTGCAAGAAATATCGGTGGAAGATCGACAACGACAATTGGAATCATCGAACGCCCAATTGGCAGATATCGAGAAGAGATTGGTGAAAGTGAATGCAGACTTCAAGGCTCAGAACGAGAGAGTCAGCAACGCCATAAAGAAGCAGAAGGTGGAGTCTGCGGAGGGTGAGAAATGGAAGGTGAAGGAGAAGGAAGCGCAAGAGAAGATAGAAGCAGATGCTAAAGATTTAGAGAAGCTAGCCAGCAAATTGAACATCCTGCAACAGAAAATAGTAGAGTGTACACAAAAGATCACTGAACTTGGCGCGCTACCTAGTCACGAGGTATACTCCAAGTTCAGCGCTATGTCCACCAAACAGTTGTTCAAAGAAATGGAGAAGGCAAACAATCATTTGAAAAAATACAGGTAAAAGAGTACGCTATATAAATTTAAAGGGACTCGCGACTGATACTTTGAATTTCATTTCAGTCATGTAAATAAAAAAGCATTGGACCAGTTCATGTCGTTCAGCGACCAGAAAGAGAAACTGGTGAAGAGAAAAGAGGAGTTGGACAGAGGCGATGAGAAGATTAAGGAACTGATGTCGGTGCTCGAGCAACGTAAATGCGAAGCGATTCAATTTACCTTCAAACAAGTGTGTAACGCGATGTTAATTTCTTGTCTTTGCGTGGTTGCTCGATCGTCCAATTTTTATCTGTAAATATTCCGTTTTCAGGTGAGCAAATATTTTAGCGAAGTGTTCAAGAAACTTGTGCCATCGGGCCACGCACAATTAGTTATGAAGACGGCGGATGGCGACGAAGGAGACGACACGACGCCAGAATCAGCGGATTCTGACAGATTTATTGGAGTTGGTAAGAGAAAACGTGGCAAAAAAAAATTGTTGCAAGTACCTGGTTTTTAAATACAAAGATAAATGAATTTTTCTCTCTTTCCAGGTATACGAGTGTCTTTTACCGGCCACAGAGCTGAAATGAGAGAAATGAATCAATTGTCCGGCGGTCAGAAGTCATTGGTGGCGTTAGCGTTAATATTTGCAATTCAAAAGTGTGATCCAGCGCCGTTCTACTTGTTCGACGAAATCGATCAAGCTTTGGACGCGCAACACAGGAAAGCTGTGGCAGATATGATCCACGAACTTAGCTCCGACGCCCAATTTATCACGACGACGTTCAGGTAAGTCGAAACATTTAACAGTCGAAACGTTTATCAAGTAAATATGTTTGATCTATATATGCTACATTATGTATCTTGGACGAAAGAAATAAAATATATACTTTGAACAATTTCGTATCCATAATTAGCATACATAGTTCCCCTATGTATTATTTAGAATCAATTTCCTTGCAGGCCAGAACTGTTACAACACGCGAACAAATTTTATGGTGTGAAATTTCGAAACAAAGTTTCTCACGTTGTGTGCGTGACGCGAGAAGAGGCAGCCGACTTTGTGGAAGACGACACGACGCATGGTTAAATGTAGGATATAAACTATTTATAAAATCATTGTCAATCTGGAAACTGTTATTTTTCTTGGCCCTGATTTATGTCGCGAAAATCACCTCGACTATTGTTTCTATTGGTCGTTTTACAAATTTATTTTTATCAGATTAAATCATGACTTCGATTGTGTGGGAAAGTGTATGTTAATGTACCTGTTTAAGGGAACAATGAACAATCATTTTTTATGTTTCGTTAACAATACACGGTCACATTGTTTACGTACTTTTAACGCAATGTCGCTCTGATTTTGCACATCTTTGTATATCTGTGCGACATTTAAATGAATACGTGCGTTTAATTTCAGCAATTTTATATTATTAAGAAAAATTCACAGATAATATATATAACGTAAGCGAACAACGAACTTGTTCTATTAATGGCTATGTAAAAATTTATATTTCTTTTTCTATTATATTTAGACACGAATTACAATACATATCTCATTTTAAGTCTGTGGGCTTTATTTTCAGATTGTATTTATACCGACGATAAGTACGCGAAACGTGGAAAGATAATTGTTGTTTTATGAATTAAAAAAGAATGAGTGTTGCATTTAATTAAATAAGTATGATATTTCCCCTGTTACTTCTCTTTGCGTTGACTGGTTAAACTGTCGTGCATGTTTGTCACGACGTTCTCAACTAATTCTGGAATAACAACGCCATTGACGTCTATGAAGTTCCCTACAGACTTTGTGACGCTGGTTTCGTTCACATTTCCAGTAGCTGTATTCCTGACGGACAATACCAGGTTGTATTTATCGTCGTGTTTTTTCAAATAGGAGCTCGCTTCCCAAATAAGATCAGGATTGAAACCCGCTTGATCTCTGTTAATTAATATACATGTACAATTAAGAGTTACCGCTTCGTGATCGCTAAAAATATTAAATATACCAAAATTTACCTATGTATCGCGACAACGAATATACTCTTCTCCTTGTACGTTGTATACAGTGTCAAAATTCCCATTAACAGAAAGTATGTAGAGGCGCAGGCGACTAAAACAGGCTTAGATGCTGGGAAAGGATACTGCTGGTCGCACAGTAAGGCAATAATAGCTACTGTTACAGCTATTCCACTGAGAATTAACCTCCCATCGAGTAATGCAAAGTTCTCTATGTAGTTGTACTTTTTCGTAAGTACATCCTTAACCGCGTCGTCCAATGCATTTTTCACGGCCGAACCGTCCCACTTATTGATTTGCACAACCTGAAACAATACGTATCGTTAGTTGAAAATATTAAACATCTATCAAGGGTTCAGCGTCTAGTCGTAACGCCCACAATCGGGAAAAATAAAATACATGTTAACACGTATACAAATTTTAGCCAACAATCTTTTCAATATTGTATGTACCATACGTAAAACTTAACCCGTCGATCACTTACGAAGAAAACATAATGGATTACACGTGTTAAAATCAGAGATATACGAGCTCGTATTTTAATATATATATTACGAACAATACGAGTATTAAACTTACAAGAGTCTCACTGTTTTTGTCGGCACCCATCTTAAACACAACCTCGCGAACGAAGCAATGTAGCATGTATCTATAGTAATTCACTATATAGTTTTGTACACGTCAAATTCTCAAGATTGTTTGGTTCACTGGATGGTGCATGCGCACTGGAGCAAAATTTAAGGAAGTTACAGGGAAAGAGACAAAAATAAAAAATTTCCTCTTAATCTACATGAGTATAGCTAGAGAAATACGTAGGGGATCTTCGATAAGTTAATTTTTGCCTGATTGACGAGCATTTGAAGTAGAAAGTTCAATTTTGTACAAAACATGCACCTCTTTTTGAGCTAAAGATATATCTATGGTAGCGGACGACAGGTAGCTGTGACGCATGCGCAGAAAGGAATCTTGCGAGGGAAAATTTCCACGAATGTCCATCACTGTTCGTACCACGAATTACAAAGATCGACTATAGTGGTTTTTAACGTCTTTACCATCGAATTTAATTAATAATTTAGCAGTACAAAGAATATTAATAAAAGCTAATTCGAAATGAATTAATAAAAGTAACTTATAATTAAATACTGATCATTCGAATTGTCGGATAGTAGATTTAGTAATATGTACAGTAGAACTGTTGGCGAACGTGGGTGCATTGGATGCACCGGGAATTCTTCATTCCACTTTCGTACAAGATTGTTTAACCATAATATGGTTACGAAATAAAGTTACTGCGAATGAAACAAACTCAGACTTATTTACTTTCCTTTACGAACCCCCTTTAAAGTATTACGAATTCCCAAAATTATGACGCCATTTCCAAGAAATTCCGTGAATTAAAACTTTACTTTTAACTTTGTGTCCTTACTTTTACTTAACTGAGGAATTATTTATCTTAAGGAATTTAATTACGGAGAGAAAAAGACGCATACAAATAATAAGAACACTTACACTAGTCCGAATATATGTTAATGTTGATAATAAATATGTAATATAAATATTTGTATCTATAAATAAAAGAGAGCGTTGGAAGATTGTTTTAAAGTACGAATTATTCGTGCATTGAATTAGCCGCTGTTAGAATAATTAAAATGTCCAATAATAAAAGTATATTTAATACGTATTGCCAAGCGTGTTATTAAGCTAATATTTAACATATTTAAGATGAGACGAGTATATTTATTTTCTGCTCGGTCAGAATTACTAACACGTAGTATGTATTGCTTTTGGAGTTATGTTAAACGTGTGACTGACGGTGTATGGTGATCATACTATGGTCTTTAGTTGTCAAGCTAGAGAAAAGAAAGAATGGCGGATGAAAACGAAGATCAGTGGTTGTACGGGGATTCGACCGACGGGAAAGAATATACGCCGACATCCGTCGAGCCGGAAAGTCAGGAGAATGATTCAGCCCCCGCTACGGTTCAAGAGAAATCACAAATTTCGGATGATCAAAAAGCGGAAAGCATCCCCGATACAACAGCGGAGGTACACTATTTCTAACCTGTACGTCCGGTTACTGTTACCGGATTCAATGCCAATACGATAAACCAAACACAATCGCGACATGCAAGAACTTGATCTTTCCGTAAACTGTTTGTACACTCTGTATTTTTTAGTAAAAATGCATACGTTACATCGTACCAAACACACGCCTTACTTGATCGACATAACCTACATCGTGTATAAACGATTCGTATGCAAGTAGATGTATGGGTTATTACTTTTCTAGGCAACGGAAGAGACCGAACCGCCGGAAGAGGAGTCCTCGTCGATCAACAATACTCAAAACGAAAGTAATACAGAGATAAACAAAAACGGAGTGAGGGAATCTTCGAGTCAGGAAGATGGTGAAGCACCCAGTGACACGGACTCCGATGACGACGTCCATGTCGTCATCGGTGACATTAAATCGACCCCCGCGTACGGCAGCCTCAACATTAAAAGGGGGGGATTGCTTACAAACGCGTCCGGGGTGCCGGACAAATTGAACAAACAGCCAGGAAAATTTAGTATAGACGAATTTGAAACTATAGGGGTTATCAATGGTATGCCTGCTCATGAATTCAATTTAGATCAATTGGAAGATAAACCATGGAGGCAACCCGGTGCAGACATCACCGATTACTTTAATTATGGTTTTAACGAGGAAACATGGAGAGCGTATTGCGAAAGGCAGAAGAGAATGAGAAGCGAGTCCGGCGTTGGTCTGATATTGAATGCTGGAGGTGGCGGTGGTAATGCAGGCAGTATGCGCGTACCTCAAGTGGCGATTACGAACGATAACAGTAAATATTCTGGTATAATGGGACCTAAAAGAGCTGGACCGCCTCCGGGAAGAAAAATGGCGGGAACGATAGATGTAATTGGTAGTTCTGGTTTAGCTTCTAGAAGGAATCTTGATAAATCCCCGCCGAAAGGAAACGTGATACAAGTGATGACCGCGGACAGAAGGGAGTATTCTAGAAAACCAGGTTTCCCTGACATGAGCGTGCCGCCACCAGGCGCGGGGATGCCCCCCGCGTTCGACATGCCCCCGCCCGGGTACCCTGGCGAACCAGCTCCGTTTTACATGCCAGAAACAGACCCGTACTATCAGAGCTACGAGCCCACGCAGGACAATCAGTGGGGCAATGATCCGGTACATGTAACACAATCCTATTTGTCTAATTGTTTCGATTCCTTTTATAGGGGCCACGGTTAAATCATGTGTTGATAGTAATTGGTCATTTGCGTTTCGTTGTAGACGTGGCAACCGACGAATTTAGCTATTCCAATGACAGAGGGAGAGGACGACAAGGACACTGGCCCCAAAACGATACCGACCATGGTACCGCCTACGAATATACCCCCGCTACTACCGCCCAGAGACTCTAGAGACCGCGAGAGAGACCGGGACAGGGAAAGAGATCGCGACAGAGAATTAGACTCGATGGGAAGAGACAGAGAACGAGACAAAGACAGAGAACGCGATCGCGAAAGAGAAAAGGATTCCATGGTCAGGGAACGGGACAGAGAAAGGGACTCGATGTCGAGGGAGGAGGAGAGGGACCGCGACAGGTCCCGTTCCCAATATCGACACAAAGAGCGGTAATTGAGCGGCGCCGTGTTTAGAAATAAAGCGGTGTTTGAACAATAATCCGTGCCGGGATTCGACGCACGATCGATCAGTAATTTAAATTAATTATTATCAATGGTGATTAATTTAATCGTTTAATTATTCTTTTTTCGTTTACACGTCGCTTTATTTCGTGGTGGCATTATCGTCGTAAGTGGTGGCGCGTCGTCTATCAGTAATAATATATTTCGAACTTGTTCAAGGCACAGACATCGATCGAGATCGCGATCACGCAGACACAAATCTAGATCCAGAAGTCCGAGTCGACGCAAGAAGAAATCCAGACGCTCCGAGAGGGAACGTTCTAAAGAAGAGAGCGAATAAAACTAAACAAATGGAAAAAAGAAAAATGTTACTTAAGACTTATCCGCGGCCACATTGGCGCGCCGGAATCTTTTAACGATGTAACACTCTCGCGCGTTACGGTACACGCGGCAAACGGGATTGCTCGGCGTTTATGGCAGATTGTTGTTCCGATATTTTCCGATGTTCTCGTTTGCGTAAAGAATACGCGATTTCTAGCCAAGAAATGAATTATAAACAATAACAATAAACTTTATCATTAATGACACGAAAGTTTCGTTGCACCAGAATCCCCCGAGTGTATGTGCCATTTCACGGGACACCGAGACACACCTACGTGGAGACGAAATTGCAAACGGGACATGGAGGTACACGAAATCACCGATACTTGCCATTCAATGTATGGTTTTATATCATAATGTTATTACAGAAATGGTATTTTATAATAATTAAAAGTAATAGTATTTTATTGGTAAATCACTCGTGGGTGAATCAACTGATCGACACTCGTGCCAGCCGTGCAGCCGTGCACTCGCGTCGATCGATACGCACACGTATTCCTTTTTCGTTTACTTTTTTTTCTCTTTAATTCAATTGTACCTCGTTTTTTGCATCGAATCTTCCCGTTTTCGTTATCGTTAATATCATCATACATAACGGAAAAAAATGTTACATTTGTACAGCCATCATATACACGTTACATTTAGAATACCGTTAATTCATTATTATTTTTTGTTTGTTTTCTTTTGAGTGTATGTAGAGGTGTCGTGTGTACCTGATGTGTTAGGTATGCCTACTAATGAGTGAGATGCTAATAGCTGAGACAAGCTACCAGTACGGCTGCCTACGTTTCAATTTTTTTATTTCTCGTTGTTTGGACAATTTTTTGAAAGGAAATAAAAACAACGTTTGTTCGACTATTTACGGAGGTTCAAGAAAGAGAGCAGACAATCGACGGTGGCGAAGAACGTAGATCGCCCTACGTGTAAATTGTCTCGAGTCCGGTGTAGGAGGGTGACAATAAATAAGATCTAAGGTAGGTACTTCTTACATACAAAAAAAAAAAAAAAAAAAAAAAAATTAAAGAAGTTAAAACACAAGCGACAGAGAGCATACATGTAATATAACCGCGTCTACTAGATGCAAAGTTTTTCAGTACGAACAAATACCATTTCGAAGTATACTGAAGTACATATATGCATATACTCGATTAATCGATTATTTAATTATAACTTTATTTAATTCGCACGATGATTCACGTAGGAACACCTGCTGAAACGACTAACGAGTAACTCGATAAATTGCAATAAATCTCTAATTTTCCCGATTCTGTAAAATGCAGTTACGTTGTCACGGGGCGTCATTTCTCGATTTTTTTTTTTATGTACCATTGTTTCAAGACATTGAATCGATCGTTATCGAAGAAACGTACCAAAAACAAAGGGCAGGAAGTTAGAAGGTAAAAAACGAAAGATTCGAGGAAACACTAACGACGAAAAAAAAAAGAAAGAATTAAAAAACGAGAATGCGTTGGATCCAAAGAGCAAAAAAGAAAGGTTTGCACGATGATCTCGTTCAGAGCGAACAGGAACATGGAGATTTCTATCGATTCTCTGGTTTTTTTTTTTATTATTATTTTTAATTCTCGTTTTGTTGTAATAAGTTATCACGACATCCTCCTTTCACATTATATACTCAGATTCAAAAATCCTTTTTATTAACGTTCTAGAAAATATGAAATACAATCGACAAAGACGCTAATTAGTATATATAATAATACCGTAACGACGCGTTATCGTTCCTGGGAATAGTTTTACAATACATGTATAATCGGCGGAAAAAACGCATCGCGTGTCGGTTCGACAGAACGTACAAACGTAGAAGCCGAGGAACGGAACTCTTTGGACCTGGGCAATTCATCGAAACGCTGCCACCACGAGTCGAAAAAGAAGGCGTCGTGTGTCACGATGAACGGGGGTGAGGGACAATATAGAGGTGAGAATAAAATGAAAGAATAAATATGAAAACGCGACAGTGGCGAACGCGAACGCAGGCGTGTTCGTAACAAGAAAGAAAACGAATCGAGGAAGTACAGAACTATATGCAAGTACCATTTTTTTTTCTCTTTTTTTTTCTTTCTTTTTGCTGTATTCTCTCGGCTATTTCGCGCGTGTGTGTACATTACGTGTGTGTGTGAGCATTTAAAAATTTCTTCCCGCGTGCGTCGTCACTCGCGATACATTTTCAAAAAACTCGAATACGGTCCGGCTACCATCGCGTGAGTAGCGTGTCCGTGTGATTATCATTAAAAAAATCTACGCTCTTTATGTTACCGGATGGCGGGTCAACGGGGGCAAGTATCGTTACTTGTTCTCGTATTTTTTTTTCTTTTTCTTTTCTTACAATTTGCTTTTGTTTCCTTTTCTTTCGAGGTGGCGGTCTATTAAATTTTTTATATAAGTGGCTCTTTTTTCGTCGCTAGTGCATCATTTTTTATAAACTGTTTTTTCTCGACATGCTCTCTCTCTCGTTACTTTGTTTTTTTTTTTCTCGTTTTAGTTTCACCTTGCTTAAATGGTACAATGACGTATTACATCTTCTTATTATTTTTTTTTTTTTTCTTTTATTTATTATTTGTTTGTCTCTTTAATCTACTCGCACTGTTCTGCCTGCTTGTAAAAAACATCGTCGAAAATGATTCATCTTCGTGGCTATTTCATCGTTTCTACTACGTTCTATACACTAATATACAAGTTATGCAATTCTTTTTTTTAATTTTAATCCGTATGCCTGTCCGTCCCACTTATCTAAATTTATCCGCTAATATGGAATACATTTTTCTTGCTCTTTTTTTCTTTTATATATCCCGCTGCAAATATCTACCGTGTGTCCCAGAAGCATCACCGGCTCGTACATGGTTCGCGCGCGGTTCGCGTTCAAACGAAGGATCAAGCTTTTTCGCTCGGCCGCGAAAACGAGAAGAGAGCTTTTCCGAATTGAAAACGAAAAAGGAAAATAACACGATCCGACACTTATCGTAAAATTTTCACGCCTCTCCTCCGAAAAACAGTATCGAGCAACGCAACGTCAAATAATTTACATTACATCTTATTACACTCTTACATATATATTACAACTTACGATTTACCCGACGCGACACATTTTTCCGTCCCCTCGCGAGAAATCCGACATAAAGAATTTCGTTTCCCCTTCTTTTTTTTTCCTTTTCCGAACGACGCGTGTAAAACGAAAAAAACAAAAAAAAAATTAATAAAAACGACGCGTGCGATTGTGTAGGAGCCAGTGTGGCGCGGTGAACGAATGTACGCATACATATATGACATATATCTGACAAATATATACGATGTGTATATATATATATATATATAATTTTTTTTTTTATATATATATATGTTCAATTAGCCCTGCGAATCCGTAGTGGTTGCTAGGTGTAACGGTGCCTTGGTGAGTGTGAGTGTGCCTGTGTGTGTGTGTGTGTGTGTTGGCGTGATGACGCGGTGGATAAAGGTGACGATGATATTTTCCGCGATATGAGAATAGCGCGCTACTGTACATCAGTCTTAATATCAGGGCGCACCATTCCCGTGGATGTTACTCTAAGCCCGTCCTCGTCCACCCTTCGTCCGTATGCGCGCGCAGCCCCGGAACGAAGGGTGCCGACGAATCAAGTTTTTCTATTTCTTTTCCTTTGTCGTTCGACTATAACTGCTGTTCGTACACATAAATATATAGCGCCATGGCAGTTGAAACCGGTGGGTGCGAACACGATGATGAATGGGAGAGAAATGTCCTATCTGAATCAGTGTGTACGTAGCGTATGCATGTGTGTATACGTGTGTACCTGTTTGCTCGTGCACACAAGTACGACAGTGGCATGTGTGTGTGTTTGCATTGTATCGTACGTGTCCTCTGTATATGTGCCTGTGTTTACGTATGCGATTTGGGCTGTGTACGTGGAGAGGGGGTTAGATGAGTGTGTTGCGTGCGTACGATCGAGTGTGTACTACAAGTGGGAGGTCGCAGATCCTTCATATATATATAATACAATTAGCATGTAGTATTAAAATCATATACAATTGTTACAATATTTAAATAGTACTTATTACATATATATCATATACCGATAGGTTTTAAAGTTTTTTTTTTGTTTGTTAAGGTATACATATACAGATATATATATATTTATATGTATATATATATGTATAATCAATTATTTATAGGGTTGCTTAATTTTTCCTCTTTCGAATCCTCCGTACGCGTTCCCCCCCCCTGGCGTTACAGGGGGGAGAAACCCTTTCTTGTTCCTTCGGTTTTCTTTTCTTTTTTTTCTTTTTTTCCGTTTTCCAGATGTTAGGCGAGCACACCGACCCACAACCCTCGCGCGAGGGCTGGCCGTGTGTACTCGGGTCTCGTAGGAGAAAGGGGGACGAAAGAGAGATAAAGAGATGATGATTGGTATCTAAAGTACAAATATCAAACGTTAAAAAGGGAGCGCAAAAAGGGATTATACGTAACGCAACGCGTGGAAAACGCTGTCGTATTGCTTGCACGATATCTTTGTACACGCCGAGTCGAGCGTTTACCTTTATTCTTTGTTTCCATTCCGGGAACGCATAATTTCCGAGGATTCCCCGGGGCACCGCGCGCCGACGAGAGTCTTGGATTATTTCGACGACGAAAGAATAAATGTAAAATTTTGTTCGGACACGAGTTCGTTATGTACAAGCACGACACGACGGTGCCCCATTCTGGGAGCGCGACGCTAGCGCCAGAGACGAGCGACTGTTTGCACGGGCAACGGGCGAACGAAAGCAACCGTGTACCAAGCGATTACTAAAAATACAATTCAATTTTACAATTCGAAACAACCAAAGGATCGGGTCGTTCTTGTGTTTTATTATTTGTATTTCTGCGTCTCTGGAGCGAGCGCGTGAAAACTTCGCGAGTACGATTTTTAGCAATTCATTTCTTGACAATTATCGAAGTTTTCACGCGACGATTCGAGGGGAACGAACGAGCCAGTCGATCGTCCCCCACCTTTTTCTTAGTCGTTTGTTACACGCAACACAGGCGAGAATAAGATTCGATACAATTTTTCGTTTGCTTGTTTTCTTTCGCGTTACAAATCCCGCGATTCGGATCCTCCGTTAACAAATTTGTCCCGTTCGCTGGGCGGCTATATTAAACCCGTACGATCTCGCGGAGGAATTTACAAAATAATGTAAGAACCATACCGAACACCGTGTGTACAGAAATACTGTGAATGTCTCGCGCACTTTTACATCATATTTTACAAAGAGTACAACACGCTGGAACAGAATTGTACGCATGAACGATTCGCTGGCCGGACAATGAAATTTCGTAGACGCGGATCTTGAGATCGCGCGATTTGTAATGCTAATAATAAAAAAAAAAGAAAAAGACGAAGTATAAAAAACAACTTCGTACGCGTTTGCTCTCGTCGTGGTGAAATAAATCGAAGGATCATATCCTGTGTATATCTGCCATTTAATTTGGTAAATTCCGCTCTTTACGTATCATTATTCCGCATTGTTTTCGCTCTGTTTCGTTTTATACACGGTGCACCGGCGCCTCCGTAGAAGTCGCGCAACCAATATTTTCCATTCTCGCGCTATATAAAAAATTTACACTATTTATAATCAAAATGTTTAAAGGATTTTCGTTTTTCGTTCAGAAGCTTTAAGTAGATATACGTATATGTATATATGCGTGTACATACATACACATACATATGTACATACATGCGCACGCACACATACACACACGTATATAACACATATGACAGCGATTAGTTGACGAACCGATCGCCAAACGTCCGTTACTAAAGTTCTAAAACAAAAGGAAACAGGGACAGCCGGGGGTCGTAAAAAGAAAGTATATTCGTATTTATATGTATCGTATTTATAAAGCGTTATATACGTGAGCGTGTTTTACGCGTGTTCATTTTTATATATATGTACGTATGTATGTGTATATATATATATATATATATATTTCGGTGTATGTATACATATGCATATATATACATATATGTATATACGTGTATATACATACATACACATATATATTTATATTCATATTTATATAGAAGTGTGTATCTAGCAAACATTAGTAAATAGCAATAATAATTAATAAAGGGAAGGTCGTTAATCAAACAATATTGGTAAGAATAACTATAGCGATAATAATTATAATAATCGTATTAATCATAATAATAAGAATAATAATATTAATGATAATTATAATAATAAAAAGTATAATAGTAATCAAGTTAACCTTAGCTGATAAGACATGAGATTTTGCGTTCGAGTTTCGCTTCTGCTATGTGACTTTTCGGTTTCTTTTCTTTCGCGGGTTTTCCTACTTCGACAGGGGGGAGGGGGGGTTGGTGGTGGTGGTGGTGGTGGTGGTGGTGGTGGTGGTAGTGGTGGTGGTGGTTGGGTGATTATTTATCGATGCTTCTATTACAAAAAATGAGACGTACGTTACCGACGTTTTTTAATTTACAAATGATGCGCGCGATTTACACGGACGAAGGAACTATCGTCATCCCTTATTAAATATCAGCGAACGCGTCAGCGTCGTTAACTACGTATAACAATCCGCGTTAACAGCGAACTAATTATATCCTGTCGACCGAAGGGTGAAAAGAGTTGGCGGTTGGAATGTCTCTGTCTGTATATATCGAGTTTTTTGCGTTTTCGTTATCGTACACATGTTACTGTTTTCGTTTTTCGTTTTTTCCAGTTTCCCTATTTTGTTCTTTTTCTTTTCTTTTTTTTCCTCTTTGTATCCTTTTATATATATATATGTATATATATATATATATATATTTCGTGTGTGTTCTGCGGCTCCAAAAACGAGCAGCCTCCTCTCAGCGTATTTCCGAAAAGATCGATTCCGTGCGTGTGGTGGAGGGGAGGAGAATGGGTGGGTGGGTGGTGGGGGGAACAACAAATTCGTCTCTCGTTATCGTTTCGACGCGAGCACCGAGTACCGATCGATCGAAATTAATAGGTTTCTCGCGAATGGGAGAGAGCGGGCACATCGAGCGAACTAAAAAATAAGAAATAATAAAAAAAACCGCCTCAAAAATCCGATAAGTACTGGGCGTCTCGCGCGCTACCATTTTGTTTTTTTTTTTTTGTTCTTCTTTCAATCAACGTTTTATTTCCCCTTCTTTGCTCTCGGTTTCTTTATTTGTTCATTTTTTTTTCCTATTCGTGAACCGGGTCGTGTCACCAACTAGAGTAAGTAATCTCCGCGCGAAGAAGAAAGAGAAAGGGCACCTAAGAATTTGTCAATTTCATTAATAAATCGTTATTTACAATATCTTACAAAGAAACGCGGCTATGTTCTTCCTCCTCTTACCGTATTTTGCACTTTTAGTCATTCTTTAAATTTGCTTTTGTACAAAATCGCGACGGATCTCGAGTTGCATTTTTTCGCGGTTCTCCCTTTGCTTTCTGTTCTCGTCTCCGTTCCTCCGTTCTTTTTTTCCTCCATTCTGTTCCTTTAGAATTCTACATATTTAACACCTAAGTTTTAACAAAATATTATACATTGTACACGGTTTAAGATTACAACTCGATCTTATTATTATCATTGTCTGTCGTCGATTACGAGAATGCAGCACGCAACGAACCTTTTCGGATGGTGTATACAAATGGTGTATACAAATGGTGTTTGGGGTGGAGTGGATGGTGTTGTCGCGCGTACGAACATCGAATTTAAAAAACTTTGCGTGATTTCTTGATTTTTTCTTTCTTTTTTTTTTCTGTTTTGTACAATCGTCGAATAAAACCCGACGAAGAATAATTTATATATACACACGTGCCACGACTCGTGATTGCGATACGGATGAAGCTTTTTTTTCGTTCTGTCTCGAAGCGATGCGGTGTTCGTTCTCGGAGAAATTTACAAAGAAATCCGAACAACGAAATTGTCGAAATCGGCGTCCTGAACGAATAAAATCGTACGTACAACGTTGCCCGACTGGATTAAAATAGCGATGAAATCCGCAGAAAATGCGTATGTATGTGTGTGTGTAAGAGAGAGAGAGAGAGAGAGTGAGTCATCGAATGTGAATTGGCTTCAACGCGTGTACAACTATACAACTATCGAACGAGAAGTGAAGAGTATAAAAACGAAGCTAACCGAACTCGAGAAATGAACGCTGTTCGCGAATTCGATTTAAAAAAAAAACAAGTCCGACGCTATTGAAAACAGCTGAGAGGTGCTCTTCTCCACCGTCTTGTGATTCAGTGTTAATATACAAATCGAAAATGCTCGGATGTGTACACGGTATATGTTTCTAACGTGTGAACGTGTAATTGGTGGGGTGTTTGGGGGTTGGGCGGAGGGGAAATGTGGCGCGAAAAGAGATATAGATACACACGCAATGGGAACATTAATTTCCTGACGTTTTTCTTCTTTTTTTTTAAAGAACGCGTTATCATTTATACAATGTACAATGGGTCTCGGTTACGTTCAAAAATCACCGCGCGTTGATCCACGCGATGGCTGCGATTACTTTTAAAAGGACTGAGGAGAAAATGGGGGCGAGAGGAGCTTGGATGGACGAGGGGGGTGTGGTTTTTTTGGGGGGGAATCGAATGAATCCGAATATAAACGATCTCTTTCCTATAAAGCGTCTCCTTTGTCAAAAATGTCTATATCTTACAACTGGATAATGTATGAGCGTGTGTGTACGTGATTGGGAGAAGGGGTGTGGGATTTACGGGGGGGGTTTTAGGTGGTCGAAACCATCTTTTCTTTAACACGGTAGGAGAATGGGAAGTGTAACGTATATTGATCGAGGGTCAGCAGCATTAGAACGTAAATCATATTTAAATTTAATATAATTAGTAATTATTATAATACACGATATTCACAAAGTCCGTTAAAAAGGAGAGAATTCCCGTGAAAAATAAAATTATTCATTGAATTTACGGTTCCTCATGTAGGGTTGTCACGTCGTTCCTATACACATTTGTTATTTATTTATATCACAATTTACAAAATTCGAGGATCTTTGGGATAGGGGGGGCCGTTGGGGGGCAGGGTACGCGGGAAAGGGTCGAGGGACAAGGTTGAGGGGAACAGGGGGATGTAAAAAGGACGTTTAAGAGAGTAGAAAAAAATGCTCCGCGCTCGAAGGCGACAAACGTAAAACGAACAAAGGAGAACCGTGCTGACGACTTGATGTCTCTCCTCATTATTTTTTCACTGTCTTTTACCATCTTTTGTTTCATTCTTTCCATATCGCTTCTGCTAAATTCCGGGTATTGTTGTTACGTTTTTTTTTTTCTTTTATCATTTTACCTTTTTCTTTCGAGAAGGAATACGCGTATATGTCGTGTTTATATACCGATTCGTTTTCGAAAATTTCATTCTAAACGTGAAACGAGAATAACGAACTTGGTTTCCTTTCCTTTTTTCCTGGTATCGTTTTTTATTCTTTTTCCTCCTTTAATTATTAATATTTATCCACGAACAATCTGAAGCAATCAAGGGGGCAGATCAGCGATCCGGTCAGGGATACTCAGCTTCATTCCCATGTCAAACGCTATGCTAGATTTTAATCAACATATCTTGTAGCTCCTAACCATCTATCAAATCTGGAACCGATACCGATTCGTTGATCGTGCGCGTGTACCGCGCACAAAGATAATACTACTTGTTTTTTAGCGTGCGAAAGGATGCACGGTACACTCGCGATCAAGACGTCTCGCGCATGGTTATATTACGGACATCGCACTCTCGTTACAACTCGATATAAATGCATGCAGCTCTAAGATCTATCCTAGCTGTCTAAACACAATTTTCTCGTCTTCGAACCTTGTTTGCTGTTGTTTTACCGAGCTTAACTGTGATCTCGGCTCGCGTGCGCGATATCTCTTGCTGTTTACCTCTTTTTTGCATTTTTCCTATATTTTCGCTTAAGTGTTTGCCAGAGGACAGAGCTCTACGCTCTTACGAAATAGTGCTGAGTTTAAAAAGGACAATAAACTTGTGTGTTTGTTAAATAACGATTTTACCCAAACCGAGGGGAGGGGGGGAGGGCGGGGGAGAAAGTAGTTTTCATACAAATTGTCGGAACGTGTTCGTGCCGTCTTTATAAATTGCGTCAACTGATCGATTAAACGAGCGGTGATAAAGACAATCAGCCATCTCAGCACTGCAGTTTCTTTTTACGATCAAGCCCGACGAGAGCTTGTTCGAGCCGTTTGCGAAGAAACTTCGGTTCTCGAAAAACGTTATCGGTGCAACTTTCGGGGACATTTCGATACGAATTCGCTACGAATAATATTACTCGGCAGCACGTTTGATCGCTAATAGAAAAATGCACTGCACCTCTAACGTTATCTCTACAAATTGATTCTTTTCCTGACACACATTCTCGACCTTGAAGTTATTAATTTCTTTTTTTTTCTTCTTCTTTTCTCGTTTCCCGGCGCCGTGATCCCGCGTCGTCCTTTCTCCGGACGTTCTGTACAAATTCAGTCGGCCTTCGTTACGGGGGTTTTTTTTTGTAAAAATAAGAAAAATCGTCTCGGTAGTGTTTTCCCTTCTTTCCTTCGGTTACGTTTTGAATTGGATACGCGGTAGTTTCTCACGCTTTCGGGTCTTTATAGCTTCCGAAAGAAGGAACAACGAGACGAGCACGGCGCGCGAAAACGGATCCTCGTTTCTCTCGCCCATTATGGATCAATGGACGACGGATACACGTTGCAATAAATATTTTACGTAGGTCTTGGGTACGTGTTCCTTTCAACGCACGAAGATCTCGAATGGTTGTTACTTTCTGAAACCGTACGTTTATAGAACCTGCGTTGGCTGCTGAGCCGGCGTGGAGACTGGACCAGCAGCGGAAGCAGGCGGCCCGATGGGGCCAAGATCGCCTCCGCTCGTTGAAGGACCAGCAGGCGTCGCCACCCCCATCGCTGACGCTGTTTTCATGAAAAACTTCTCCAACTTGACGATGATGTGCTTGCCGTAGGTGTACTTGCGCAAGCTGTTCAAGTGCGGGCGTATCTTGTGCATCAATATTTTGCGTTGCGCTGGTTCCGCCACGTCGATCATCTTCTGCACCACGTAGTTGGCATACTGATCCTTCATCATTACGTTCAATGCGCTGTTTTGTAACACGTGCAAAATATTAGTGACACGGAGGAACTAATTTACGTAACGCGCCTATACGTGGTCCCCCCCGGCAAAATTGGATATAAATCTTGCGCTTCCTTAATTATAATCTACCGCGGAAAACTTACTTGTCGTTAAAGCCGCACACCTCTTCGATGAGCACAGCGCGTTCTTGTCTCGTAGCATGAGTTACACACTTTTCAACGACATTGCTCGCGAACTTGTGTTGAGAAAGTGTAAGTACTTTACCCCTAACGCTGTTGATCAACTGTGCTTTGTCCTCCGGTTTTCCATGTTCTTCGGAAACAAACAGGCAAAAGTAAAAGCATTTTTGTTGAGGGAAAAAGAAAAAGAATCTGCGATGGGAAGCGTTTACTCACCGAGTACATGCTGGATAACGTAATTACCATACTGATCTTGAATGAGTTGATCAGTGGCGGCGTGTAGCTCCTGAAGGATACCCTGGGTCTGTTCGGGAGTGCAATGCTCCAGGATACGTTGGATCACTCTGCACCCGTAAGGATGAGTGCTCAACGAGTAAACCTGACCGGCGAACGCACCGATCACGAATTGCAACGCCCGCGGCTCGACGCACTCGATACACTTCTGCACGACGTGATTCCCATTTTGATCTTTTACGCACTTCAAAACGTGCCCGTCCAGCTCCCGCACGATCTCCTGCTGCTGTTCCGGCCCGATCGATTCGAGAGCCTTCTGAATCACTCTACAGCCGTACATCTGCAGCGCCAAGGGCAGTACGTGTCCTCGAACCTAACACAACATGCATACGAAAGTAGGAACATTCAAAAGAGCCTCACGAGACATCTTTCGTTCAACTCGTTCAGGCTTTTATTGCACTCTATCAATGGACAAGATCAGTTGACACGCAAAATAGATCATCATTTTGAAACGAACCAACGAAGATACTCATCGCGAATAATCACCTTTTGAGCGAGGGTGGATTTCTGTTCCGGCGTGCCGAACTCGAAGAACTTCTGAATAACGTAATTCCCAAACACGTCCGTCATCAGTGAGTAAGCAGAAGTCAAGATTTCTTGGAACACGAGCTGCTTTTCGCTGGCCGAGGCGCGTTCCAGTTTCTGCTGAATGAAACGGGAGCCATGCTGATCTTGGCTGAATTCGACTATGTGATTCGCCAGGTCGCGCAGTTGAAGACTCGGGAATCTGCAGCATGAGAAATAGCGTCTTGTAACGTAAGCTCGCCACCGGAAACGTAACACCGTTGGACGAACGGAGCAACGCGAGAACCACCGTACCGGTTATTTCTAAAGTCCTCCAGCAAGCGTGATCGTCCTCCAGCGTTTTTGTCACCGATGCTGGTGGTGCCGCCGCGACCGGGTTTGCCCACCAGGTTCGGGAAAAGGGAGTTACTGGAACCGAAAACTCCGTTTGCCGTTAAAGCCGGAACCGTGCTCGCGCGAAACTTTGCCTCGGCCCCGGGAGCAGCGGAGACGCGACTGGCTCCGCCGACCAGCCCCCCTAAGGATCCGCCTAAAGTTGGTGGCGGCGTCAAGGATAATCCTAATGGGCTTGGCGATGCTGTTACCGTGCCTGCAAACACGATCACGAGGATGTAGACAAACTATAGAGAGTGGTAGAGTATATATGTAGCGAGTGGTGCGTCAAAAAGATAGCACGTTATTCTAAAAATACTCTATACGTGTAGGAATACAGAAAATAAAATAGCGTGCTATCCTTTTGTTCCTGAGAGTAGTTGTCACATTCTCCATACAGGGATAGGGACTCCATCCAGCGTAGGAATAATTCTTACCAAGGGCTCCGTAACTTTGGGGCCACTTCCCGCGGCTGTACTCCAAGCTGGGGCTAAACGCTGACGTGTTTCTATCGAAGGAGTCTCTTCGAGCGGTCGACGATGCGCCAAGACCGAGACCTGCGAACAAAAAGTCGGTGGTTTTGTAGCGGAATCGATGACGAACAGAGCGGATATGCGCGCGGCCACCGGCGGTTACGATTTTAAGAAACAAAAGGACGTCACTGGAAGTAGGATTACGTGTTCGACATGACAATAAAGACAAACGATACGCTCCTCGCAAAGCATGCAAAACATATTCGATCTTGGTTATGTACAGAACGACGCCTGATACCGAAGGAGGGCTCTCAACGATCGGTCGTTGGCTAGAGAATGTTGTACCTGTGCTCTGGAGCTGAGCGGGCGAGCCCAGCGCCCCCAGTGGGGAGCCCCCGTATCCTAGTGCGGCTAAACCCGCGGCTAGTCCTGATCCTTGCTGCTGCGCCTGTTGTACGGCGACCGCTTGGGCCTGTGCAACCACCGCTGCAGCACTGCACGCCGCCAGACCTGCACCGAAAGCCCGCAACCCACACACGCTCTTAGTTATCAATTAATCTGCCCGTACGTTACCAAACCTCACACCGTCTATTAAGCCTAGCGGTACACCGTTCCAACACATACACACACCACGCTTCCGCTATTGACATCGATAGATATTAACGGGTCTTTCTCTTTTTCTTTTCTTTTTTTTTTTAGTCACGGGGTTAATACGTGGCGTGACACACGTATGTACAGACAACAGAGACACGGTTAACTCCGACGTTGATCGAATGTATATCATTGATACATCGCTGTGTGCCATGCATGTATATACATATTATGTATACGGGCGAAACGGGACAAGCGGGCGTCTCCAGAAATATGTCCAACGAGGGCACTTTAAAACACTTGAATATTTTTTGTTATATTGGAAACCAGAGACACACCGCTTGTCACAGATTGCACAGGTATTTCTGTACTTCTCAGGGAAGAATACCGAGAAACAATAACACATATCTACAACGACGAACGGGCGGATCCGGGTATTTAATTACAGCGTCCAGCATCCTGGAGGACCTTACCCAAACATTCTCCTGCTGTCGCGTTACTGTGGGATGTGGGAGTCGGTTGAGAGTATAGACTCGGTGGCGGTGGAGCCGGTGGTCCGGGCGGCGGTTGAGACGGGGCTCTGTTCACCAAAACCGGCGCAGGACTGACCAGTCTCATGGGGGTTGCCGCGGAGCTTAATCCGCGCACACCGCCCATCACTATGGATCCATTTTGATCGTAATACGCTGGTATCACCTGATACTGCCCCTGAACCTGCAGATTTAACATATCAATTTTAGTTACTATTCTACCAAAACACCACCGACGGAGGCGATCAGAAAACACCACCCATGTGTACCAAAACTAGTTTTAACCGTTTGAGTGCCATGAGAATCCATACAGAAAATTTATTTTTTAATAAGGATTCAATGTTGATTTGAGTTTAACAAACTCGTTGGAAGATAGAAATAATTACAGATGAAACCGTTCGGTAGGATTTCAAAACTTGAGGCGGACAGGCGCATGTAGTGCAAATCGTAATGGATGGAAAACGCATGCAAGATAGAGAACTATCAAGATAGCGTGATTTATGAGAAATTCGAGAACTGCTCCGCAAGAGTATTTTGAGGAAAAGGAAGGACCACTTTATGGAACTGGAATAGCAGATTAATTGCGGGACAGCTGTGTGTATCTCCCGTTACTATCTGACACTTGAAAGTCGCTTTTCTCTGAGTCACATTTTTCAAAGTAATTGGGCAAAGGATCTCAGGAGCTACTCGGTCGATCGTGTCGAAATTTGGCACAAGTATGGATCAAATCTAATTCTTCGATTAAATTCAATCTTCTATCTAAAGAGTCGATCAGCTAACAGTGTAATATAAACGTAAGTTTACCTAATCATGATCACATTATACTACAAAAATACTGATTGAATAGTTATGATATGCATTATGAGAAGATACAACAATGAATAAAGCTTTTTCTATTCCATGTGCAGCAAAGGTATTCAAATTGCTTTAGCTTCGATATTTTCAGCACAACTCATAAAACCTATTTGCCAACAATTTCTGTTGAACTTGACATAGCTGGTTTCTTTTCGAAATTCTAGCCCGTAGTAGCCTCTTAAGGCGTCCCGCTGGTTCCACCTTTGCTTCCGCTATTCTCATGGGTGCTCAAGGATCGTAACAAAGTTCCTTGGCACTCGAACGGTTAACAGAGACGCAGAGACGTTAATGGGTCGGTAAATCGCACAGCAAGTTTATATTTAATCTCTACCAAAGACCTTCTGGCGGTGGGTAGGTTCTTGTACGAAAGTGGCAACGTGTAGTATCGCGACTAAGAGGTTAAAACGTCGCGTCGACAATGGGATTTATTTCTAAACACCGAGCGTGGCCGATGTCCGTTCGCCTAGGATCAGGTTAGAGCGACTAATTAGCCGCTTACAGTCTGCGCCAAATTGTTCGCCGTGTCTTGGGCGGCAGCTGCCGCGGCGGCGGCCGATGACGGTGTCAGCGGTCGTCTGGGGGGCGGCGGGGCCGCTGCCTGAGGTGGCGCTTGCGGCAGCAGTCCCGCTGGATAAACCCACGGCGCGACTCCATAATACTGGGGCACCACCGGCGGTGGCGCGCCGGCTATCAACGCGCCGACGTACGGTTCCTGGCCGCTGATCACGGTGTACGGCGCCGTGGGAAAATTCTGTTGCTGCTGTTGCTGCTGCTGCTGCTGCTGCGCCTGCGACGCGGCCAGGTACTGCTGCTGCTGTTGCTGCTGTTGTTGCTGCAGCAACTGCAGCTGCTGCGGCGTGGCTCCCTGCGGCTGGCTTCGGAACAATTGCTGCAACAGAGAGAACACCACTGCTGTAATTCGCAGGAATAATCTTTTCTAGTGGTAGAGCATTCGCGTTCTGGGATTCATATAAAATTACGATCGATCTTGTTTTTAAACCAGGCAGTGTTGTAGGTGTTTCTAGATGAGATTAGGTGTCATTGAAATGTCTTCGCGATGCTAATACGATCCTAGTTGTTTGGTAAAGATGAAACTGTCGAGTTTCTCTTAAGTGTGCCGACATGTAAAGAGGTTAGAAAGCACCCGATGTAACCGACTGGTAATTAAACGTTCCCCGCGCGTTTCTACGGACGCAAAGAGTTATATGCTCTAGAAAACAATCACAGGTATATCTAATTATAGTCCTCGCTTGGATTCTTCTTTTAAATGTACGCTTGGAGAATTTTAAACTTGCAAGGAGTAAAGTCTGCTTTGATCAGCGACCAAGTATTTATAAAGAAATGTTTATCGCTAGTCGATTTCAACGAAGTTAAAATGTATATTTTGATAGAAATGATCGATTCGAGGGATTATAATCGTTTCGAAGGAATCTAGGAATCTAGGGTTCGCGAGACTTCGTCGACCGGGAGCAATCGAGTCTCGAAAATATTGCTCGGTCCTAAAAATATCCGCGGTGCTGCAAAATATATCGATCTTCTCTTGGATATACCGACTCACGGGTCTGTTATCAGGCGAAATCTCTGCAGGAGTGTGCCGTGTAGGTCCCGGGGAACAGTCGGCAGGCACACGATATCGCATGCAAATTTTCGGCTAGAACGTGGCGAGCGTGCGGAGGCTCAACCGGCAGGGACGTCAGGCTCGTCCCCGTCGTCTTAATTTATTCGACAATGCGCCCGGAACGTTTACCGAGGAACTCTCTGGGCAGAACTCCAATCGCTCGGACCGAGATTAAGGCGCTTAAGGGGGTCTTCCAGTAATCCACGGCAAAAAAGATCGATTTCGTTTTGTATTCTTTTTAAATTTACATTTCGAGGGAAAGGATACCCCCCAACAGTCCAATAACGATATCAGAAACTTAAAACACACTTTTCTCGAAACTGAAATATATTTACAGCTGAAACTCTAAGTAGAATTTTGATTCCTTCGTTTCGAACGAGCAAGATGGCCGCCACCGATGTCAGCCATATTGGTTTTCGAAATAACCTATAAATGTCATTGTCGGAACTCCCAGCAATAAAATAACACGATACCAGATACTTTAAATACATTTTTCCCAAAACTGAAATGTAGAATAACCATTAATTATTAAAATAATAAAAATTATTTAATTTAAATTTTATTAATGTGTATTTACAGCTGGAACTATGAGATTTTGACTATGACATTTTGATTCCCTTGTTTCGAACTAATAAGAACGACCGCCACGATGTCAGCCATATTGGTTTTCGAAATAACCTATAAATGTCATTGTCAAAACTAAAATATAGAATTACCATTAATTATTAAAATAATAAAAATTTAAAAAATTATTTAATTTAAATTTTATTAATGTGAACTATAGAATTTTGACTATGACAATTTGATTCCCTAGTTTCGAACGAGCAAGATGGCCACCACAATGTCAGCCATGTTGGTTTTCGAAATAACCTATAAATGTCATTGTCGAGCTCCTAGATTTTTGGCTATTTGGAAGTAAAAAGAAACTCTCACGATTCACAAAGAATGGTTATTTTTCCGTCTGCTTTGCTAGAAGACTCGTTTAAGGATTACGAGGAGTCGATCGTGCGGATCAGTGCCGAGTAACGTAATCTCCGGGGCTCGATGACGACATATCTCTCTCCTGTTACCGGGGCAGGAGACCCAACACCGACACCCCGGGCCCAGTTGACTTTAAAAAAAAAAAAGTTACGGATCAAGGTCGAGAAACTGGAGAAGTTGGGAGAACGTCCGCGTTCGAGGCGGAGTGCGGTAAAAGCGACGTTAAAAGTCGACGAACGTAGAGGAGGGAGGGCTGGGTTGGCTTTGGCTTGGGTCGACGACCCCCTGCGGACGTTCACCGACAAACCGTTCGCCTCTATGTTACCGGTACTCGGTCTGGACTCTAATTGACCGACAAACGTGGGTACGGTTTGACCGTGACGGAGAGGAGAGCATCGAGTCTGGGACCTGCCTTGTCAACCGCACCGGGTTAAACTTTTCCCTGCTACTCGACCTTCCCAATTTATACTATTTTCTAATAACAGCGACACTACTTTCGATTCTCACGTCCGCCATTTTTATTTGTCGATCGTTCGAGTGAAATTTCTGTACCTAACCTTGAATCTGCTTTAACATAAAAAAGAAATAACTCATAGCTGTTGCATATGACAGTAGTATCAACTCTATTAAATTGTCCGCCATTTTTGTTTGTAGATCGTTCGAGTGACGTTTACTGTACCTAACCTTAAAAATCTGCTTTAATATAAAAAAGAAATAACTCATAGCTTGTTGCATACGACAGTGATATCAACTCTATTAAGTTGTCCGCCATTTTTGTTTGTAGATCGTTCGAGTGACGTTTCTGTACCTAACCTTACATCCTTTGTAACATAAAAAAGAAATAACTCATAGCTTGTTGCATACGACAGTGATATCAACTCTATTAAATTGTCCGCCATTTTTGTTTGTAGATCGTTCGAGTGACGTTTACTGTACCTAACCTTAAATCTGCTTTAATATAAAAAAGAAATAACTCGTAGCTTGTTGCATACGACAGTAGTATCAACTCTATTAAATTGTCCGCCATTTTTGTTTGTAGATCGTTCGAGTGACGTTTACTGTACCTAACCTTAAAAATCTCCTTTAATATAAAAAAGAAATAACTCATAGCTTGTTGCATACGACAGTGATATCAACTCTATTAAATTGTCCGCCATTTTTGTTTGTAGATCGTTCGAGTGACGTTTACTGTACCTAACCTTAAAAATCTGCTTTAATATAAAAAAGAAATAACCCATAGCTTGTTGCATATACGACAGTAGTACAACTATTAAAAAATATATCTTTAATTAGAAAGATTAATCAATTTTATACGAAAAGTGTGTGTATAAAAATATTAATGTACGTCGATCGAGGACAAATTAGCTCTCGACAGGATACAGTGGAACGATCGTATCGATGTATTTTACGGAATCGGTTTCTAACCGGAAGTCAGTCTTCAAATGGCGTTGTCGGTCTCTTTTGAGGGGACACAATTATTCGTGCATGTGTCGTTCGACCGCGAAACTTTATTGGTGTACGTTTTCCGGCGTATAGTTGCAAATTCATTGTGCCATTGAAAGAGAGAATCTAGAGTATCCACCCTTATCTGCACAGTTTCTTATCTACGCGGTCGACCGGACTCTGCGCCGCCTATACTTATAAACATCGAAGTTATCTAAGCCCTACAAGACCCGACGCCATCTTGGATTCCACGTATTACATCGAAACCTTCTCAAAATCAATTACGCTATCGCTTCCACTCCTTCCAAAGATTCTTTCGTTTTTGACGATCAAAGGCGACAAAAAAAAAAACGAAGCAGAAATTTGTTAAATTCGTGGAACGATTTTTCCGCCATTACGTAATTACTTCTACGTTTCGGTAGATGTAAATGACCTACTCCTCGCCATGCCGTTTCTGCCTACGATTACCGACGTGGGCATTTCAGAATTCTATCCGTTTGATTCTAATTACATCGTACAACGTAAAGACGTGACCTAATTTCAATGTTTTTTTTTTCCACCGTCGACTCATTGTTTCCATTCGACGTTCTCGTGTCATTTTTACGCAAATTTCTTTCTAACCGGGTATGCGCATAAAATAAAAATACATGAATATTTAAAATTTAAATTCGCTCTGTATTTTTTACAAAAATAAGTACCACGATACACTTTGATTTATATAGTCAACAATTGTTTGAAATCAAAGTTTGTTTTTTTTTAAATGAAATCAGTTTTTGAAAATATGTAAAAATGGGTAGAGTCGCTCAAAGACATTGTACAATTTGGATTTTGAAAAATTCCTTAGAGAAATCACAGGTACGGTAATAGTCGTGAATAGCACACGATTGTTAGGCGTATCTTCCACACATAAATAACCATTTTTTTTTTTTCGGCGGAGGAATGTTTCCACGTGGTGAGATTGGAATTCCAGCGATGGCGATTGCATGCCAGAGACGCAAACATCGAAGTTGGCAATCAGCGCCGTTGAAATTTACACCACACCGTGTGTAAATTTTCCTCCACCGAGCAAGTGATTATTTATGTCAGTAGACTGTAATATTCAAGAAAAATTTCCCAAAATACGGAATTTCTGTTTTAAACATTTTATGTGCCCGGAAAACAATCAGAGAAACATCAGGGTTTTGTTTCGGTTTCAAGGAGTTGTAAGGCCCAACTGGACAGAAGCATAGAGAGAATGGCGTTTCAAGCATTTTTCTGGAGAACAAACTCAACAAAATGTTCTTGCGCCTTTATTATTATATTATATTTACACAAGAACTTTTTGTCGACTTCGCCTTTACGAAGAATTTTTAAAACGCATTTACCCTACGTGTCCCTTTGCTGAGTCCGCCCCTCACAAACATTCTGTTTGTTCCTAGCAACAAGTTGGCCACGAGCAAGTGCAAGTCAGTTTGCGTCGAACAAAAATAAATGGAACTCAGTGACTGCAATAGACGTTATATTTTGCTTCACTGTTTATTCATCCTATTAATATGTTAATAATTATCAATAAACTATCGACAATGAAAAGGGATACCATTAAATCATGTAAACCAGACCAGAAAGTAATTGTCACGTCTGTCTACTGCTAGCGCCTCTATCGGAGGAACAACGCAACTACTCTTTAACCTCAAAGCAAGCAATTCAGTCGAAACGTTCGGATAGAATTTAAATTTAATTTCCACAAGCTTATAGAATTCTTCAATTATTGTCAAATGCACTACAAGTATTTTTCTTCGACGTTTACCGGTACCAACGGGAACAGTTAACCTCTAATAACGATAAAGCATCGAATTCTATTACGGAAC